AGAGAAGGAGGGAGGGGGTGAGGGAAAGGAAAAGAAAAGAAAAGAATGACTAATTCTCACATAAATTGGACTTAATTTTGATCAAAGTATATTACTTAAACATTAATTTTTAATTCAACTTGTTAATATGTTATTTAGGATATTACATTCTCATTTATAAGTGAAATATGTTTGTAATTTCCCTTTATAATAATATATTTTTTTCCAATTTTGATATCAGATAAAGTAGAATGATTTTGAAGTATTTCTTCTTTTTCTATTGTCTATAAGATTTGGCATGATCTGTTTTTTGAAATTATCTTTTATTTTTATTTACAAATATGAGTTGCCTATTTTTTGAGACTTTGGGAAAAAAATAAGAAGTTAACTGATGACTCCATACTGAACCTCAGAGTCAAAGCATTCTGTAATAGACATACTCTTATTCGACAATGTGAATGTTACTTTTTTTGCATTATTATTATTGCTCAATATTTTGTTGCAGCAATCGTCTGATTTCTTTTCTGAATGTATTTATCTTCGTTCATTCTTTATGAGGCTTTTGTTTCTAGTCCTTTTCTTAAACATTATTATTGTTATTAAATTTTAAGTCTTTTTAATTTTGTGAAGGCAAAAAGTGGAAACCAAATAAACACATGTATATGTTAAAAAAAAAAAGTGCGGCATATGTATACCCTGGAATACTATTTAGCCATAAAAAGATGGAGACTTTACTTCTTTTGTGTTTACCTGGATGGAGTTGAAACACATTCTTCTTAGTAAAGTATCCAGTGTACTCAGTACTAATGTGAATCTAGTAGACAAAACAACATACACCCACATAAGAGGAAAACACAATTAAATTCAAGTTGGGAGGGAAGCAGAGGAGGGAGCAGGGAGAGGGGAGGAAGGAGGTGAATGGGTGTGCTCTCACCTAATGGGCACAATGTTAGGGTATATGGCAGACCTCCTGGGGAGGGGGCACAACTAGAACAGGGACTTTCCCTAACAAACACAAGCATTGTAACCCAACCTACACAAACATTTGTACCCTCATAATCTGAAAAAAAAGAAAAATAGAAAAAATCCATATGATGAAATTCTAACCCCCAATGGGATAGTATTGGAGATGGGTGAATCAGATGCGTGCCCTCATCAAAGAGACCCCCCAAGAGAACGCTCTTGCTGTCTGCCGTGTGAGGACACAAGCAGAAGTCAGCTATCAGAAACCTCATCAGTTCCTGAGCATGCTAGTACCCCGATCTTGGACTTCCAGACTCCAGAACTGGGAGAAATATCTACATTTCTGTGTATAAGTCACCCAGTCTGTTGTGGTACTTTGTCACACAGTCTGAACTTACTAAGACACATGCCAACCTCTTGTTCCTGTGTGTGACTCACAAG